TTTGAAAGTGAAAACTACTCCTTGATCCAGGGACTACAGAATGGATGCTGTGTTAGCAGGCATGGAAACAACATTCATCTCCTTGTATATCTCCATCAGAGCCCTTTGGTGACCAGGTGCATTGTCAGTGAGCAGTATATAATATTTTGAAGGAAATTGCTTTTTTCTGCGCAGTAGGTCTTAGCAGTGAGCTTAGAATGTTCAGTAAACCATGCTATAAACAGATGTACTATCATCCAGGCTTTATTGTTCTATTTATAGAGCACAAGCAGAGTAGATTTAGCATAATTCCTTTTCTCTTCTTCTTCTTTTTTTTTTTTTTTTTAAGAGACAGGGTCTCACTATGTTGTCCAGGGTGGAGTGCAGTGGCTATTCACATATTCAATCATAGCCCACTACAGCCTTGAACTCCTGGGCTCACTCAAGCAATCCTCCTTCCTTACTCTCCTGAGTAGCCCAATAGGCACCTGCCACTGAGCCTGGATAGATTTAGCATAATTCTTAAGGGTGCTATGATTTTCAGAATGGTGAATGAGCATTGGCATCAACTTAGTCACCAGCCACACTAGCCCCTAACAAGAGAGTCAGCCTGTCCTTTGGATCTTTGAAGCCAGACAGTGAATTCTCTCTAGCTACCAAGGTCCTAGATGGCATCTTCTTCCAATGGAAGGCTTCCAATGTTTGTCTGCATTGAAAATCTGTTGTTTAGTGTAGTCACCTTCATCAGTGATCTTAGCTACATCTTCTGGATAACTTGCTACAGCTTCTACATCAGCACTTACTGCTTTGCCTTGCACTTTTATGTTACAGAAATGGCTTCTTTAAACATCTTGAACCAACCTCCACTACCTTCAAACTTTTCTTCTGCAGATTCCTCACCTTCAGCCTTCATAGAACTGAAGAATTAGGGCCTTGCTCTGGATTGGGCTTTGGCTTAAGGGAATGTTGTGGCTGGTTTGATCTTCTATCCAGACCACTTAAACTTTCTCCATATCAGCAATAAGGCTGTTTCACCTTCTTATCATTCATGTGTTCACTGGAGTAACACTTTTAACTTCCTTCAAGAACTTTTCTTTTACATTCACAACTTGTCTGTTTAGTGCAAGAGGCCTAGCTTTCAGCCTATCTCAGCTTTTAACATGCCTTCTCCATTAAGTGGAATCATTTCTAGCTTTTGATTTAAAGTGAGAGACATGCAACTATTCCTTTCACTTGAACACTTAGAGACCATTGTAGGTTTATTAATTAGCCTAATAATAGGGAGGCCTGGGAAGAGGGAGAGAGATGAGGGAATGCCAACTGGTGGAGCAGTCAGAATACACACAAGATTTATTGATTAAGTTTGCTAGCTGTCTTATATGGATGCAATTCATGCCGCCCCAAAGCAATTACCATAGTAACATCAAAGGTCATTGAGCACAGATCACCATAACAGATATAATAATAATGAAAAATTTTGAGATATTGTGAGAATGACTGAAATCTGTCACAGAGACACTAATTGAGCACATGCTGTTGGCAAAATGGCACCAGTGGACTTGCTTAGTGCAGGGTTGCCACAAACCTTCAATTTGTAAAGCTGTAGATATGCGGCATCTACAAAGCAGAATAAAGAAAGCTGCAATAAAATGGGGTATTGCCTGTATGATGTTTTCAAGTTCCATCTATGTTGTAGCATGTATCAGTTCTTCTTTTATTGTCAAATAATAATCCATTGTATGGACGTACCACATTTGATTTATCCATTCATCAGTTGATGGACATTTGGGTTGTTTCCACTTTTGGGCTATTAAGAACAATGCAGCTATGAGCATTTGTGTACAAGTTTTTGTTGGACACATTTTGATTTCTCTTGCATAGCAGTGGAATTGTTGGGTCATATTATAATCTACATTTAACCTTTTAAGGAACTGCTAGACTATTTTCCAAAGTGGCTACATAATTTTACATTCCCACAAGCAGCACATGAGGGTTCCAATTTCTCCACATCCTCACCAACCCAACATTCGTTATAATCTGACTATTAGATTGTAGCCATCCTAGTGGGTGTGAAGTGGTATCTCATTTAGGTGTTGATTTTCACTGAGATAACTTTTAAAAACTTAGATTAGCAAAAATTAGTATGTTGAAAAAAACCCTATCTGGGCAAGACTTTGAGGAAACAAACACTCTGATTAGGAGTGTAACTTGGTACACATTTTATGGAGGTCAGTTTGATATATTAAAATGTGAAATATATGTAACCTCTGACCAGATATCCCATTTCCTAGTATTTGACCTAAGGAGAAAACCATATGTTGGGAAAACATGTATTGTCATATTGTTCTACTGTTGATGTTAATGGCAAAAACCCCAATTACTTTTGCACCAACACAATAATCTCATTATATCAACAACTTTGAAACTAACTTAAATATCTATCAAGAGAAAACTGGTTAAATGAATTCTGATGCACACATAGAATATCTAAGCAATCATTATAAATAATGATGCAGGTAAAGTATATTTTTATTTTCATGTAAAGCTATCTACCACATATTGAATGAGGGAAAATCAGGTTATCGAGTATCTTCATGAAAAGATCCCACTGGTGTAAAATACCTGTTTGCCTAGAAAGATCTTTTGAGATGATGTCCAAAATGTTAACAGTGATTATATCGTAGTGGTCAAATTTTACATGATTTTTTTTTTACTTTGTTCTTTGTATTTAATTTTGTTGAAAATCAGCCTCTATAATTTTTTGAGACAATTATAAAACTATTACAAAAGACTGCATTTTAGAAGTTACATTTTTGTACTTAATCAAGGCTTAAATTTTAGTTAGATACTCTTTCCCTATCATTTCTTTTTAAAACTCAAGCTAAACGCATAAAGAAATTCACTATAGTAGTGATTATATTCACTTGGTGTAGAGCATTGTCTTATGCTCTTCCTTCAGAGACTTTTATTTATACTTTGGTCTTTATAGAGTTATTTTTATGTGGAGATATGACAGGTATTAGGATTTGGGGTTCCAATAACAGGAACAGGTCAAAATGGTTTTCCATCTTTCTGGTTATTGGGATAACCATTTTGGATTCACATATTCTCTCTTCCACTCTTCCATCCCTCTTTGCTGGAGAATAACATTAACAACAGTTTTCTTTTTCTTTGAGTTATTATGTGTTAGGAACCATTCTAAACATAGGCATGTATTTTACTCATCTAATTCTCAGGCCAATCCTGTGAGGTTGACAATACTGCGGTGATATTTTACAAATGAGGAGCGTGAGGGATAGAGAGGTTAAGTAACCTGTCCAAGGTCACTCCACAAGGGAATGGCAGAGCTGGCACTGGAGCCCAATAAGTCTGGTTCCAAAATATCTGTGATCTAAACTGCCACACTCCACTGCCTCTCTGACTTTCCCCCTAAATATGACTCCAGACACTTCTTGGGGGTTTTCCTTGTTTCTCCCCCAAGCTGTCATTCCTACCAGAAATGCCAGAGAGGCTGAGGTAGTGTGTACACTTGACTGGGCTTTCCCGCAACAAATGCTCTATGGAGACACCTCTTTGCTGTTTATATATTTACCCCCTGAATTTCTTAGGAGTTTACTTAACATTTCTTTGACATCCTCTTCTCTGAAATGTTTGGATTTCTTACTCCTCAAAGTTGGAGGATCATCTAGGGGGGAAAGAATTAAGCCTTTTGTAGATGTTTCAATCTTGCATTAAGATCCATCAGCAGAGTGCTTGGTGCTGAGTCAGAGAACATTTGCTACCTGTGCCCAGGACTGCATGGTGCTCTCAGCCTCAGGAAGTGCAAGATGTCTGGTGCTCTGCCTGATCTTTGGGTCTGATTAATTGGGGGAAAACATAATTTTTATAAGGTTACAATTTATTCTAAGTATAAGGGTAATATATGCTCATTGTAAAATTTTGGAAGATACAAAAAGGCATAAAGAAAAAAATTAAAAACACTTATAATCCTACCATCCTGTGATAACAACTAGAAACTATAATTTCTAAGCACGTTTGTCTTCTCTTTAAGCAATTCATATCCATTCATGAAGACTAAGTATTTGAAATCAGTGATTTATGGATGCTAATTTTAGAAAATGTCCATCCATGCAATTTAGCAGGTAGAATTATTGTTAAATTTAAAGATGTACCAAAGTTGGTGAAATTAAAATTTCTTAATCTTATACTCCAGTTTGATTTTATTTAACTGAAGAAAGACATAATTGTGGCCAGGTGTGGTAGCTCACACCTGTAATCCCAGCACTTTGGGAGGTCAAGGTAGACAGATCATGAGGTCAGGAGTTCGAGACCAGCCTGACCAACATGGTGAAACCCAGTCTCTACTGAAAATACAAAAATTAGCAGGGCCTAGTGGCGTGCACCCATAATCTCAGCTACTCAGGAGGCTGAGGAAGGAGAATTGCTTGAATCCGGGAGGCGGAGGTTACAGTGAGCCGAGATCTTGCCATTGCACTCCAGCCTGATGATAGAGCAAGACTCTGTCTCAAAAAAAAAAAGACAGAATTGTGCATGTTTAAAAATATTAGCATGGAATCAAACAAAGAAATATAGTGACTTCAGTGGTTTTATTTGCTCCTGTGTGTGATCGTCCCATTTATTTTTGCCTAATATGGGCTGCATATATAAGTAAGTTTTTATCTGATACTAATTAATTTTATGTGCACAAGATGAAGATCTATTTGAAGTACCATCAAAATTTAACTTTTGATATTTGTGATTTTGGTTGTTACTGTTTTGGCTGTCTTGTGATCAAAATTTAGTATAATTTATTTAGGATATTTTTCTATTATCCTGGGGGAAAGAGTTATAAATCTCACCACTATAAAAATAACAACAATAAAAGACACTCATGACATTATTGTAATAACTATGTTGTTTGATTTGAGTTGAAATAGCTTGTACTGAACATTATTTTTAAAAGCCATTTCTTAAAAGAATAACTTCTATAATCAAAAGGTTTATCCTCTTGTGTTTTCTAGGTATCTGGCCATCTGAAGAGGTGTTGGCTTACTACTGCCTCAAGCACAGTAATATATTCAGGTACAGAGCTGCACTTAAGATATTTTTTAGCCCATCACAGATATTGAATCAACATATTAAAAATTGCCGTGATTACATTCTTCAAATTAAATTGTTAGAAAAAAATAAGAAAAAGAAAAAAGGAAAACAGAAAGGAGGAAAAGGAAAACAGAAAGAAAGGGGGAAAAGTTCACAGTGAACACATGTTGCTTCTCAAATGAAATCTGAATCGCCTTGGGTACTAATATTGCACAGCAAGATTTTTGCTGTATGTCAAAGGCTTTTGATTTCCACTCAAGGCATTTTATTTCACTTTGATTTGGGGGAAACAAAAGTGAAGCTCCAATCAATCCTTACTGATTGTGAAGGTCAAAAAAAAAAAAAAAAAAAAAAAAAAAAAAAAAACCAACCAAAGACATTCTTTAAACTTCTGCCAGGGAAGTCACTACAGAATATCTGATAAATAAATACCTCACAGCTATTATTTAAAGATGCCATCCCACCCCTGGTTTTAAAAGTATTTTTATATATCTAACAATATGTATTTGTGAACTATAAATTAGCATTATGGATTCATGCTACAGAAATAAGTGTTTTCAACTGTTAGTGTGCATTACAGATCAAACCCATGGATGGAATTCAGGAAGAAAAAAAAAATCATTTGAAAATTCTGAAGATGTTTGGTAGACCCAGAAAATATAGGTTTTTCATTTTAATTATCATTTTATAGAAGTCATTCAATATATACTTCCTGAATAGCCCATTATTATTCCAGATAAGTCACTAGTGATCATAGCGTGTGTTTTAAGAGTATGTACTTACAAGATTGGGTCAGTAATATGTATTTTTTTAAGCTCTGTGGGTCCATATTTACCAACCAGTCTATAATTGCTTTGAATAACCAAACACTCATTAAGTGTGTTTTGAAATATTAATGTCCTTGCTTGGCTCCTTCTCTTCCCTTTCCCCCTCTTCCCACCTCTCCCTCCCTTTTAATTTTGCTGTTTTTCTCCTCTTGAGGTAATAAACTTCCCAAACTGGGAAGAGGAAACAGTCCTAAGAATCTAAGCATATAAATAAGAACAGGGCAATTTTGAATGTGGGCTGCAGAGCTGCCCTGGAAGTCTGGCGTTTGCTCATCTCGCTGTGCTTAAGCTTGACTGGAGCTCCAATCAGCGAGCAGTGGGCCAGGGCGAGAATGTCACACACTGAGGGCTGATATTTAGGCACAAAGGGGAAGGTAAGTGCAGAGTGCCCCCCTAGACTGTCAGCTTTAACTCTGAGCCGCTCTACTTTTGAGCTGTGAAGTCAGAGCCCAGTCATTACTTTAGCCTGGGTTTGCTGGCTTAACCATATTATGTCCCTGCATTGTTTATTCACTGTGTTGTGTTGGGGTCAATTGTAATTTAAGTGTTAATTGCTAAATACTCTTTGTGTAATTGTTCTTTATGGAGACTGTTCAGCTTTCCAAAATGTTTCAGTTTGTTTTAGAATTTTTTTTTTAAATTCAGGAGTGCATCTATTTATTTTGTGTATGTTGTGTGTATGTGTCTATAATATAGGTATATACACACTCATATATATTCTTCATTTACTTGTCTAACTGTTTTTGAAGGAATGAATGTGGATTAACAGTGTTATCCTTTCCTAACAATTATCTTTCGCTACTCTAGCTAGTTTAGTTCTAAAAGACAGCGCCATTGACAAGGGAAAAAAAGGGAACCTTCTCAGATTTTTCAGCTCAGCGGTGGTAATGTTGCAGTGAACACTAATGAGGGAACCCCCACTGATTTGCCTGCTTTGTGACTTTTCTATTTCATAATTATTTTTAAAACGCAAAACGACATGAGGTAGCCTAGTCATGTCTCTACAACTTCCTGGTAGCGCCGTTCTTACTGCAGATGGCAATTTGTTCTTGTAACATATATCTCTCTCTGACCATTTTCATCTAATTTGTATGGGTTCTACCATTTCTTTTCTCTCTTTCAGGGCCCTTGCTGTGTGTGAGCTAGGGGGTGGCATGACATGCTTGGCTGGACTCATGGTAGGTCTTTTCTCCATTCCAATCCCATTCAGAGGGAGGAACAAAAGGAAAAATGTTCCAGGGCCTCCAACTGCTGGGTCAGAGAACCGTCAACAGCATCAGCTGCGGTCAAGCTGCCGGGTCTTGAGAGACCTTCTAGATTGACTTACTTTCGGATCATATTGATTTTATGGTTGCCTCGATGAGCAGAAACATTTTACCTCAGTGTAGTCAATATTGCTTGTTGTGACATTCCAGGCCTCGCACAGTCTTTCTTTGCCATAGCGAAAGCATTTTTTTTTTTTTTTTTTTTTCAGATTATAGTCCCATTTGCTAAGATACAGGAATAGCCCGGCGAATCACAGTTGGAGCACCATGATATAGCTGCTAATGTTTTGCCTGCATTATTACACCAACAAACATGATCCAGAGCGCTCAGTAATTAGATTCTTTTGAATTAGATTGGCCATTCAGGAACGTCGTTCCCCATTCTCTGGGTTCTGAGTCATGTATTCAGGAGATATTATGTAGCAGCACAGTGCATTAGACAAGTTTTTATGTCTCTACAAATAAAAGCATATTGTTACACTGATTGGCATTTGACAAACCTGTCGCTCTTATACAATGTGTCGAGGTTACAGCCCAATGTGCGAGCATGTCAAAGCTCACAAAAAAATTACCCTCACAAAGCCATCTGCCTGCAATGCAAAGTTATATGAAGGGCATCAGGCAGTCAGACAGAAGCAAGCTGAAAGGCAGAGTGACAGCCTTGTATGATGGCTCTACTAGATAAACAGAAGCCCACAAATGAAAGCCTCTCAGAATACCATCATCCGCTGTCACAATGCAATTACCGAACAGAATGATAGCAAGATAGAGGCTCCCGCAAATGGAATGATAAAAGTATTGACTGATTTGATTGAATGATTAAAATAATGCAGACATAAAATGAAAAAAGATTGAAGATTGTTACAGAGAAATAGGTGAGGAAGCATGATACTGAAGGCTTGTCACTCCTGTCTTCACTTCCACACAGACAAGCATATTTGCTCATTGTTTGCTGTGCTCCCTTTTTTTTTTTCAGGTTGCTATTTCTGCAGATGTCAAAGAAGTTCTGTTAACTGATGGGAATGAAAAGGCCATCAGAAGTATCCTTATTCAGATAGAAAACGGGTTTGTTGTGCTCATTCCTTTTTCCCGGCTGAGTAACAATTGATATAAAGAAAGACAGCATGGGGTATTAAAAGAGAGCTTCCTCCCCCACATACATGATAAGTAATTAAGAAAAAGTAGAAATATATGAATTCCTTGCATACGACTCCGTGGGTTTTTTTCTTTCCATGGATTTTTATAGACATCTCTCATTAAAGGGGCCTATGTTTTGTGGACCTCCTGACGCAAGAAGAAAATTTGTTTCATAATTTCCAAGCATTCTTGTTTTTTTATTTCCATTGGAATTTGCCAGTGTAAAATAAATTATTTGGTATTTATTGTATTTGGATATTGCTGGCAAATATTAACTTCCAGCTTCATGTTTGTTATTACCTTTATGCACTTGATATTGTATGTACTGTGTAATATTGTGCCTGCTCTAATTGCTGAGGGGTTACCTATATCCCCCACTGGAAACAGCTGTCAGTTCTTCATTATTTCCTTTTATTTAGGATTTTATTTAGGATTATACATGCTATCTCTATTTTTCTGCTATGCTATTACAGTTCAAACTCCATTAGATTATGCTTTGCTAATATGTACACAGAGTTCATGAAAATTGAACTGTACTTTAAGAAAGTAAGCATAATTTGTGGCTACTTTAGCAGTCGAGCTGATTTGTTCAGGGGCAGTTAACAGCCGTTAGAAACTGAGAGGAAAAGTGGAAGATATGTTTGCTTTGGATTTTTTTTTTTTTTTTTTTTTTTTTTTTTTTTTGGTGTGCCTTACATTTACATTATGAGGGAGACAATCTACTTATTTGAATTTTAAGCTCCTAAACTGCCAAAGCAGTTTTGATTTCTGTGGCATCTTACATACAATCTATTTTGGATTTTCTTTTTCGACTTCTGCCATATGATTTTTTGAAAATATGTGGCAGCTTCATCAAGCTGCTCAAACAGGAGAAAGGAGGTACGAGAAGCACAGTAGCTAATATTGTTCAGTAACACTTGTATGCTCTACCGAGCCCCACCCAGCTAATTGCCTGACAGACTTAAAAAAAATTCAGGAAGGAAAAACAGCCAATCACAATCTTGGCCTTTCACACAAGGGAAAGAGATCACAAAAGGTGCTTCCTTTTTTAAAATGCAGGATTTTAATCACGTTCTTGAGACTGTCTCAAGTTTTTCAAAATATTCCTGAAGATGAGCGGATGTTGTTTCATTCACTCTGCTTTATTCTGAGTTATTTCATGCACGTATCCATGTATCATTTCACTGTGCTCCTCCTCCTTATGTCAGGGAATACAGAGCAAGAGGAAGCTCAAGTATGCCAGCTCAGCCCCAGCGCATTTTTAGAGGGTGGGGGGAACAGGATTATTGGACAAGAGAAGATTATTTTAGCCACAGAAACTTTCAGCTTGGGCCCAGTAACCTAAGGTTTTTTTCAAGTCAGCAGGTGTCTTATTTAATAGCATCAGAAACCAATTAGAACTTTTATCAAACTATGGGAAACATCTGTAGTCAGTATGTAAATCTATTTGTTCTAAAATTATTATTGAGCTAAACTACAGAGCTTCCAAAGAAAGGAAGCAATGCTAATGTCATTAATTAACACACCTTTGCTTTAAACAACAAAGATGCCATGCCAGCTTTTGAAATCAGAGAGGAAATCTCAGATTCTGTATTCATTCTGCCAGCCTTTCAAAGAAATGACTGGTACAGCCCCCTCCCAAGAAAATGGATTTTTAACATTTGGTCCTCAGAAGCTCAGCCCTGAGACTGCTTTATTGTGCTGGGTTTTACAATGGGTTTAATATAGCGGGGTGCCAAAGGGTAGGAGGGGAAGAACTTTACAAAGTAGATAAAGTAGGTCTTTTCAGGATGCAGACCAAAATTGGTAGTGTGTTTTATTTCATCTCTTAGGACTTTCCTGATGGAGTTCAGTTTTTACCATGCAGTTGTTAGAACATAGAACACTATGTTTGTGTGCCTTTTTCTGTTGTAACTAGATCTAATTTTTTTTAATTAAGAGAAAAAGCATGCATAAAGCCTTAAAATTGGCAATGTGTTTTTCCTGCTTTTAATACTAATGCTATTCTTGATTTGCTAACAGAGCTTACAATTGGTATTCGTTGTCATCTGTTTCACTGACTGAGGTTAATATGAATGATTTTTTTTTTCTATTTGCGTGCCCACTTTCTGTAAGAATAACTAATTCACTGAATCACATACTATTGATGCATATAGATTGAAACAAACTTATTTTAAAATTACTGTTTATATCTTTCCTTAAAAATTTTAGGAAGCCTAAATTATATAGCAGTTGTAGGATATTATTCAAAAATTACTTTCTAAAAAGTAGAAGTGGATGTCAACAAAAAAAGGGGGAGAAACATTGCCAGAAGCCAGAAAATCTCTTAGTAAAGCTGCTAATTATTCTTAATGGGCAAGATGAGCACATTAAGAAACAAATGAATACATCAGTGAAATGTAATTGAAAATCGACCTGGCAATGGCATATCACATCTGAGTATTGGCCTGTATATTATTCTTATCATTTTAAAAATTGTTTTTGTTGTTCTTGGCTTCTGTATTTAATGAATCCAACTGAATCTTCTTAGTCTCTTAAGCTTCTAAAATTCTGATTTTTACCTCTTAAAAATAGCATTTTGTGATATTTCCTTTTAATTTTATATTATTTCTATTTATTTTAGTATGTGAGGCAATGAATGGATTGGTTCTGAATCTTTATATCACAGAAGCATGTCAACTAGTTTTGAGGTTATTTATTATTTCCCTAAAATATATCAAATGGATTGCCTATGTCTTCTTGAGTTTTCCATCTTGATTCTGAAAAGCTAGATGTTGATCTGAGATTTATGAAATGGAGATGTCTGGAAAGATATTAAGACTTGAGGTAAAAATGAATTCTTTAAGTCACAAATATTTTCTTAGATTCATGGGTAGTTTTCCCTAAGGTCTCCTTGGTCTCCTTAAACTGCATTGCCGGGTCTATGAACCCAAAGCCCCCACACCTAAGAGCTGCTCTTCCCTACAGATTCCATTTTATCTGTACCCCAAGAGAACAAAGGATAAATTAGAAACAGGATCATTTCGTTTGTCCAGTTATGAAATTTATTCCAAAATAGTGTGAAACATGTTCCTTTTCTTTTTCTTTCTTTCTTTCTTTTTTTTTTTTTTTTTTGGTAATGCCCCCTTAGTGTCAAGAAAGAAATCTTCAACAGCCCACATATAATAATTACTCCATAAGGTTTGTAGCTTGTGATGACAATGACCTAGGAATAGGAGAGACACATGGTATACTGAGCTATTATTGATACTAAGCCTCTTCTAAATTATGATGAATAAAAGTAGAACTCCTGAAGGTGAGCATCCCTCTCTGGCTACAATCACTAATGTGCCCAGCACAGGCGCCCTGCCTTAATAAACATCTGGCAGTTCTATGCAGAAGATTCCAATGTTTGGTGACCCATTTCTCTGTAAGCATCTTATCCCCATAGTATGCACAGTGTGGGTCACAGATAGTGAACTTAGGATTCTCCAAAAATGGGTAAATCTCCTGTGCTTTTTAAAGGAGACACCCCTGGTTTAACATTATTTTTATTTAATAGAATCCCTGACTTGAGTAACTAATGAGTGAAGCTTCGTGTGGACTGTGCAGCCTGTACTATAGATGGTTGACAACGTGGAAATCCCGGGCCATCTTCCTGTGTCCAGGCTTCTTCTTCCAATGCTGGCTGTACTTCCATCTACTGATGAGTCATAAGTAAACTCTATGTGCCTCACATTGGGTAGCAACTCAACAAATATCTGTTTTTGGAATTAAATTAAAATTAATTCAACCAATATTAATGGCATGTCATTACAGGTGCTAAAGATACAATAGTGAACAAGATAGGTCTAGTACCTATCCTTGGCTAGAATACATTTATACACATGAAGGGCAGAAGTCCTTTGATAACTTTGGTTATTTAAATTCTACAGTATAAATGTTCACATAGTTAATTCTAACTTTTTTTTTTTTCTTTTTTCTCCTTTTTGTGGAGAATGGGGTCTCAGGCAGTCTTGAACTTCTGGGCTCAACAGGCGTGAGCCACTGTGCCCGGTTCAGGTAATTAATTCTAAGCAGCAGGGAAAGAAAATAAAGTGTAACTGCCAAACCTCATGTTAGTTACTTTACCAGCCTCTTCATCCTACCAAAGCTTTTTCCTAAATTATACACTAAGGTAATGAATTGACATGAATTGGGCACCTACTATGTGCCAGGCCTATCATATGTGATACTCCATTAAGCCTAACAAATAGGTATCATTATTTCTGTTTTAGAGATGGAGCTCAGAGAGATTAATTTACCCAAGGACACACAGCCACCAAGTATCAGAACCAGCACTAGAAGCCAGGTTCATTTGACTTCAAAGCTTATGTTTTTTCCACTTAAACCATTCCGGGTCACCAAAAGCTAAAATGATTTGGTGAACCTCATCTTGCATTTTCTTACCATACTCTGGAAATAAAGGCCTCTCATCCATAAACATAACAATTGGCATTGCTAACAGAGTTTATAGTACCTCTATGGCATCTTCTCAATTCATGTGAGTAATAAGCACATTTAAGAATATTTTGCAGCCTTAAATTAGCAAATATTGCCACATTAAGCATTAAAAAGAAAAACCTTGAGAGATCAAAATGAATAGGGTTTATATTATAATCTCATAGTTTCCTACCCTCCTTTTTGGTATTTTGGTATTCCAATGAAAATAAAGATAACATAAACCAAGAAAGTGGTGCTTTGTGAATCACAGTGTTATTATTTTTAAAATATTTTCTTGCTTAAAGAACGTGACGACTCTCAAAATGTATATATAACTACTGGTAAATAATTGCTAATTGCAGGAGGAGGCTGATATTTTTAACAATATGATACATACATATAACATGTATATAATTTGTTTAAATTACTATTATATAAAACTTTTTTTTAAGAATAAAAATCAACTGAAACAAAATTGAAATGGAGCCCTACCTCTGAGCAGGGCTTTATTTGAGAAGAAAACCTAGAGATAGAATTCCGGTTTCCTTTTAGCCACAAACATATATCCTGTAGCTCTGGAAGTCCAGTTGCCTAGACAAGGGGATTGGAGGCAATTACTCTGTATTCATTTAATCAGAAATCACATTGAGGCTTTCTTTGCACCCAGTCCCTCCCACTGAAGTGCTCCAGAAGGTGGGTGCGGTTCAGAGAACACAATTTGGCCCGTTGTGTTGAACACTATCCTGGACATATTGACTCAGTGTGATTGGATTTCCTTTATTACCCTGAGGTGACACAGAAGAATGATAAAATCTATTATTGGACACAGTGCCATCCAGAAGAACCATCAAAATCTGACCTAAAGTAAAGCGTGGGGAGCAGGAGATCTGAGTTTATCTCTTAAGGTAATATTTTAAAATACTGTTGACATTTTTTCTTCTCATGCTCATTTTAATATTTAAAAAAAACCTCTTAAACCACAAAACATATTTCCCGTCCAGTTCTAAAAATAAAGCAGCCTAAATACTGCTGTGGATTTTTTTTTATTTAAAAAATTGCTTCTAGAATATAAATACATATGTTTGCTTCAGCCTGACCACCTGGAGTCACAGGTTTATAAATTGTATAAAAGTATATAGTGTTAAGATGTTTACTAAAAATTATTAATAGGTTTTCTGAGTTATATAATTTAACTTCCCTGAGACTATTTTATAAAAAGTATTACCTCCACTAACAAAATAATATGTTTTGCTTGATAGATTAGTCATGTACTCATACGACTCTACAGGTGTACCGGGCACATTATGGCATGCAGTTGGATGCCATGGAAACTCTAAGGAGGGTGTGGCCAGAGTGTGGGGGAACTTAATCAAAAACAGTTGTCAGCTGACTCTTTACTAATTTTGTTCTTCTCAGAATAAAGATGTCAGCTGTCCTTTTCTGCAAGACATTTCATTTAGAAGACTTTCCTGAAATACTTTCTTCCTGAAATAGACAGAACTGTAGGCCGATGTGTCATTTTAGTTAATCAAAACAAGTAGGCAAATTAGTCTCTTTTATTTTTTTAATGAATGTAATTTAACAGTATTTAATTTGCATACAGGAAAGTTCACCCAGGAAAAAAAAAAAAGTCTGCATTATAGCACTTTTGTAAACCTCAACAAAGCCCTTCATTAGGAGACCTAATTGATTTTTCCTACCCACCCCTGGGGGAAGAAAGCTATCACAGTACCTGCTTATTCACTCAGAGAAGAAATGGGTGTGCCTGGTGGTTCAAGCAGAGATTTGGGTTAAAAAGTCCTGTGGCTCTGTTTTTGCAGGGAGATCTTGGTCAATGCTTGCTTTGAGCATTCAGGAAACCTGTTTTTCTGAGCAATAGGAGAACATCGCTTGTCTGCTTGGTGTCCTCCCCATGGGCCCAATTTAGTTCAGCTTGTAGCCTTCACTGGAATTATTTTATTTCTTGACTATTTAAACCTGCCTTATTCCAAAAGAGGGATTTTGAGGCTTGTTACCGTGACACATAGAATATACCATATAAAATGAATAGGAAAGTGAGGGCAGTTGGAAAATTGGAAAGCCAGGAAAATATGATGAAGCCAGGAATAGAGGTCAGTAGAGAAAGTATATGCAACAGGGTCTCTTGTGGTTGTTAGAGTTAGGCCACACATTTGGCTCTGAGTTGCACAGGTGCTGAAGCAAAGAGAGAGGATCAACTCTAAGAGTTATCGTGCCGGGAAGTGGAAGCAACATCCCTTGATCTGCAGACCAGCTTTTCCTGGTGCTGAAACCTGACAATTTTTTCCGATGGGCCCTTGTAAATATGGCGCTGGGTGATGTAATGAACCAGCTCCTGAAAACATGTCTTCCATAAATTTGGCTCTTTTGTACAAGTCCTTCTATGCCGAAGGCCATAGCGTAAGTCTGTAAAGACAGTTCTTCAGGGGACTTTTCACTGAACTGACTTTCTTCAGTAATTCATTTTCTCTCAAAGATTCTCCAAGATTTTCTCCATCTTTTTCTTCTCATTTCCTCCCAAGTCTCATCCTGCTGCTCCTCTCCACCCCTCCCTAGTAGCATTTAGGAGATTGGAAATTCTTCACACTGGAAAGTCTCAGGAGACTGACATTGCCCTCCCTGCTGACAGAGAGGCTTGCCTTTGGACTCCTTGCCCTTTTAAGCAAGTAGGACATGGCACCTATGGGACAGTCATTTCCCTTCAGCACTCATAACTCTGGGGCTTGCCATGATGATCCATCTCAGGTGATAAAATGCAGCCCAGGGAAGCGAAAGAGCTTGCCTATGGCAAGTCAGCATCCTGCTTCCCACCCCACATGCAGCTCTTCTCCTTTCATGGTACTCATCCCATGCATGATAAAAAGATCGGCCAGGCGCAGTAGCTCAGGCTTGCAATCCCAGTATTTTGGGAAGCTGAAACAGGTGGATTACCTGAGGTCAGGAGTTTGAGACCAGCCTGGCCAACATGGTGAAGCCCCATCTCTCTAAAAATAGAAAAAGTAGCTGGGTGTGGTGGCTCATGCCTGTAGTTCCAGCTACTAAGGAGGCTGAGGTGGGAGGATCACTTGAACCCAGGAGGTAGAGGGTGCAGTGAGCCGAGATCATGCCACTACACTCCAGCCTGGGCAACAGAGTGAGATAACAGTTTCTGGACCTTTTTTTTTTTTTTTTTTTCGGTCAGTTCACAATCACTGCAGACATTTTCTTAACTGTGTCCTGTAGATGTGCAAGACATCATCACAAGGAATCAGAAGGCTGGTGTTTTTAAGACCCGGAAAATATCAAGCTGGTAAGATACCTTTCTGCACTAAAAAAAACTCTGATTGAAATTGTTTTTCTTGATACTATGGATGGTTATTAAAAATAATAACAGCTAACATTTATTGAGCACTTACTGTGTGTCAGGCACTGTTTTAAGCACTTTACAAGTATTATTTAATGCTCGCTAGAATACTATGAGGCAGACAAACACTCTCATTATATCCAATTAAGAGATGAGAAAACAAGATAAGTATATTAAACACTGGGTAGGGGATGATTTATGATTAGACAGTATGAGGTTGGGAGAAGCCAGGCCTGGGAACTCCTTAAATGGCTCTCTTCCAGTGAGTCTCAGCCTAGGAGCAGTTTTGTCCCCAAAGGGACTTTTGGCATTCCCTGGAGACATTTTTTTTGTTGTCATGACTTGGTAGGAGAGCGGGGAGTGTTGCTACTGGCATCTAGTGGTAGAGACCAGGGATTCCACTGAACATCCTATGTTGCATAGGACGCCCCCATACAACAAAGAAACATCTGGCCCAGAATGTCAATAGTGCCAACACTGAGAAACCCTGCTCTGTTCCATGATTTTAAAATAGTCTAGGTGTCCATTCCCTTTTACATTCTGTTAATTCTTATACAAACTAGGAGGAATGCTTGCTCTTAACCAAAACAATGGTGTGTACTATGATGCTACCTTTTATTTTTGCCCTGTTGGTAATGGATCTAGAGAAGTGAGTAATCATTTCATAGTTTTCACATGAAATATCTGTATTTGTGTATTGTTTCTCATTCATTTAACCACAGCCTTTATTAGAATAACTCCATGTTAAATTAATTGTTTTCTTTATTACTGTGAAGTTGTCATCCTTTGGTAGTTTGAATTTTCCCTATTGTGAAGACACTTTCCCACCCCAACTTCCCAGTTTGATTTTTTGTATTAGTTATATAAACTATTCATTAACAGACAAGGCCTACAGACTTATTTCTCTTGGACACACCCACGGTACAGCCCTGGCGGCCAGTGGTCTGGGTGTGCTGGCCTCAGAAACAAAAATAGCTACAATGCTTAAAAACCAAAGTGACGACACATATTGGTGTGAGGCTATGGAATAGCAATAATTTTTTTCTCTTATATTAATTGGTGAATGTAATGAAGTGTCCATATATGTATTTTTAAATCCTGCTTAAAATGTTGGGAGTAGGCTAGTGGCACAGGGGACAGCATATTCTGTGTTTCTCATATAAATGAACAAACCACTTCTGTTTCCCAGAAAACCTGGGGTAGGCTGAGAGAAAGAGAAAGGGTCTGCCGTTACCTGTGGGGTCCCCGTTGTTAGGACAGCCTTTCCTTCACAGTGCAGACGGCCTTATCCTTCTGGAGAGGACTTCATTTTTGGACATGATTTTCAACCTGGTCTTTTAGTTATCAATCAAAAGTGCATTTTCTGTGTTGTCCTCATTTACATTTATTTAATGTTTAAGGTCATTTGTGACCATTTGAGTGTATTTCAGCATATGGAATCAGGGAATAATAGATTTCAGCTTCATGCTGTGAAGAGAGATTGTGTTTTTACAAGACATAATGTTGTTTACTGGGTGTTAATAATCACTAATTAATAAACATATCTAGACTTCTAAAATGTTGCATTTTGAGGAATAAAAATGTCAAGTGTTTAACTTATGGAGTGCAATAGTATTTTCTGTCATCTCTTCATAAAATAATTAAGTTACATAAAGAAGCAAAATGTCATTGTTCAACAAAGGACATATCCCAAATGCTTAATACATGGCCTTTGTTTCTATTTTTCTGTTCTCAAAACTGCTATTTCTAGATATATTGTTCTGATATGTACCTGGACATATAGACTATGTGACAATAATAGTCATATAGAAACCTCCAAGATAAGAGTGGGTTTCCCCCCCCATCTTTATCTCATACTAGTTGCAGTCAGTTTCTTTTCTTTTGACTCCTGGAAGCATTTTGTTCAAAGTCTACCAAAGCACTTTCTAGAGAATAGATATATTGAGTTAGTCCTTGAAATGCCTTGATCTTATATTAAGGAGCAACTTGATCACTTAACTGTCAAGAAGCTAAGAGAAACGGCCAGCCACTGATGTAATAGTCAGTATTCTCCTTCCATCCACTGCCTTCCCACCCATAACCAGTACAATGTGATGAAAGTATTCGTTCCACGAGAGAAGAAATAAAAGGAAGCCATTCACAAAAGCGCTAAGATAGAGTTCAATACTCTTTTTTAGTGCCTTAATGCATATGCAGAATTTCTCCCCTAAATTGGAGGTGTGGAATAACAGTAGCGACAGATAACTAAGAGGTATTTACCATGGCTATAAAGCCCACACGTGAGCCAAATATTTCTGCTATTAAAAAGCACTTCAAAGCTTGACATGAAGTTTGTAACAGCTGAATGTCTCTTATGACTGCATTTGCAAAGATGTATAAGCTGAAAGGAAAGTCGTGATATGAGAACTATGAGCCTAAGAAATGGTATATATTTAAAAAAAAAAAAAGCTGCCCAGAAATTTGACTGGCATCTAAGCCCCTGTTCCCACTACTCCGATGATGTTCTCCATAACTATCAGCATTTCTCCTACTACTGACCTCTTCCTACCTCTTACACAGGGGCAGACCCAGGTTGTGTGGGGCCTGAAACTTATTTTTGAGGGCCCACTTAAGAAGAATGAATTCTATTATACCTTACTTTGATAAATTTTACAGAAATATATGACCATGTGAACACATTACGAGGGCTTCTCCAAGGGCCTTGGAAGGGCCCTTGCAAGAGGCCCTGACGCTGAACCTTCATTAGCTTCACAGTCAATCCACCTCTGCTCTCATAAGCACCACCATCCTTGCCTAGGGTAACTCTTCTCTTAGCTACCAAACTTTTCTGCTCCCTCTATCTATTTTAACCATAGTCTGATTGTAGCTAAATGTGAAAGATGTGTTGGTGAAAGTCTGGAAGCCTTAGCCCTGGCTGAATCTAAGATCCACTTATATGAAGCATTACATTCATTGCTTTTCAGCTTAATACAGTTATTTGGTTTATTTGTTGTCCATCCATGCAGCCGTCCATTCACTTAACAAATATGCCCAAAGTACTCTGCTTTGGAGAATATAAATATGCAGTTATCAGAAATAATTCTTGAACAAAGGAAACCATGCTACTAAATATAGCTAGAGATTGATGAAAGAGCAAGGATATTTACAGTATCTCAATTGTTGGGTTTATCTAAAGCCGTCTTCAAAATTGTGACTGTTTAACAAAGAACCATTTGGAGCTTTTGACGTCTACGTATTTCTAGTTCTTCCAGAATTAGTGAATAGCGTCATTCTCTGGTTAATATTAGTTGAGAGTTACTAAAAAATATATTAAATTTACCCTGCTGTGATGATGAAAGTAAGTTTCACTTAACAGTGTATGTATCTTTGTGTGAAAGTTGCTAGTGAATTCAGGTTTATGACCTTTATTATTCTTTGATAAACCATGAATTTTAGTAAACTATGGAACTTATGTTAAGACTTTTTTTTATAACCCAAACTTTACCTTTATGTAGGCCCCCAAGATTGGTTTTTGGTCGCATTGCCCCATTGCTTTTTAAAGATTTATACCTCCTCTGAGACTCAGTTTCCTTTAGAGGTTAAAATGGGGATGTGGAAAATGATTTTTGAAAGGTACGTTCCGACCAAGTGGAATCCAGTGACTGATATTCCTGGGCCTTCTGCAGTCTGCCCTTGTATCCACATCTCATCTAGCTGCCGCCTCCTCTTTTGGCCACCCAGGCCCCCTCGCTTGCCTCTGACAGATATGATGTCTCTATCTCTCGTCTTTGCCATTCTTGTTTCCCTCCTCTTCTCCATCTAAATCCCTCCTTCTAGGATGGCACCACTACCATTTTCCCCCTGCCTTCTCAGACTATCTCAGCCTACCCTAATCTTTTTAATTTCTGCTGCTCTTAGAACATTGAATACAGTTGAACATGGCATAGTCTCTTATTGTTCAAAGCATATTGGCTTTGTTTCCATGTTCACTGGTTTATCAACTTGTTGACAAATATTTTGATCACCTTCTGTTTGCCAAGTCCCAATATAGATGCTAGAGATGGAGTGGTAAACAAGATGGAAAAGGCCATGCCTTCTTGGAGTTTATGTCCTAGGGAGGGAAACAGATCATTTTCTTGAAGGCAAGAATTCTGCTTCGTATGTTTTTGTACTCCCTGAAGCAGTTAGTACACTTTATCCTTGGTATATGAAAGCTTTTAAAATTGGTATTTAGAGAATATTTTGAAAGACATGAACCCATAAAGCTTATGGAACCAAACCATTTTTAGTAGAGGAAAGTCAAGCTCTAGAGAATCAGACATCCGTTTCTACATCAGATAGCTGACTTTCATTTCAGTGTTGGCCTCTTCTCAGGCATGCACATGTAATGTCTGTAGACAAACTGACAGTGTGAGTAGGCATTTATCTGTTCTTTGTCAGGTTGAAGAGGAAGGTTAGTAGAAGGTAACTGAGATAAGGAAGCTGAGGGCTCCCTTTAAGAAACTTTCTGATAAAATATACCTGTTAGTGAATTTTGCTAGAATTATAGTAACAGAATCCTGAAGACCGCTGAGAATTCTAGAGATGCCACACTCCTGTTTTCCTTCTGTTGCTATCTTGGCTATGACAAAATGAAATTATCATGTGTACTTTCTGTTACTAACATAACACTGTTGATTTGCTTAACAAGTTTATAGATGGGCTCATATCCCTACTATTTAGTGTTTTGCACTGAAGACACCAACTCCCATAAGATTAGCCAGTTTCAGCTATTTTGATAGAGTTATCCTTTTTGTATTAAAATGAGCCAGATTTTAAAATAGGAGGATGCTGTATTTTTAGGGACCCTCTTAAAGTACAGTCAATTAAAAATTAAGGCCTTTTATTTTAGAATAACATTGTATTGATTCTTTGGATTTGCCCACTTCTATTTTTTACCAAGGTCAAAATCTCACTACCAAAAATAG